CTCTATGAAAATTCAGCATTCAGTTTTCAGATTTCAAATTCAGTGCTTGAAATTCGGACTTTTTTATGATGTGCCAAACATCCGGGTCATTGAGGAAGAGTAATGATCCACAGAGCTCCATGATCAGCCACCTGCAGTATTTGAACCTCCTGCTGTACAAAGTGAAGGCAAAATCTCTGGGATAGGATTGCTGCTGGTTGATCCGCAGAATGGAGTTCTGCACCGGGGACTGAAGGATCATTACAGTTTTTTAGGTAAGGGTTTCGTAAATTGATCAGGTGTTAGCTAGCTAGCTAAGACAACAAGCAGGTGAGTCTGACTTACATAGAAACAAGCACGAGATGGTTGGTTCTGGTTTTTATTTTTTTATCTTAAACTGAAGCTTTTGTGGTGAGAAACAGTCAAAGAAGAGTCATTTGACCAGTCCAGTCAGTTTTACTGTAATCTGATTACTGTAAGAACAAAAGGCTTGACTTTCCTTCAGCTCCCTATAAAGGGCTGTATTGTTGACTATTCGGAGCAAAAGAGGTACACTACAATATTCTTAGTTGACATTCGCGCACTACTGGCTATATCTTTTTGTCTCTTGATGTTCTAATGCATCTTGCACCACACTTTGAAAAAAGGTGCAATAGATTTTTTTTTTAAAAAATCATCTTCTTTGATAAATGCAGACCGTTTGCATGTCATGTGACATTATGCAAAAGGATTGTCCAGTATAATAAGAAGACTGCTACAGGTGAAGAGCTTCTGGACAATCTGTTGGACTCCAAGATTTAGAAAATTCAGGAAAGGCCTAAGAGAAAAGAAACAACATGAACACACAGCATGTTCTGCTAAGGTGCTGTGTAGCCTTTTTGAACTCTCTTAGTTGTCTAACATAGAGTAGATAGCGTTTTGTGCATTGTTGCCAAATCATTATTTATGCAAACCTATTTAAAGCCAGCCAGTATCAAAATATTAAATCCTGTTATGTTGTTGACTCCTCTCCCTGCAAATGTATATGTGCATCTTACTGATCCTGAGAAAGTTAGTAAAATCTAACTCATGTGCAGGTTATGGAAGCATTTGTTTGCATGGAACTAAAAGAATGAATTGGTAGATGATTGATAAACACAGCAACTGCAATAAAAGCAGTTATCTGGACAGACAACACAGATTTGCTCCAATTAGCTTTATTCGCACGTACATTTTCTTTCATCAGTCGTGCCAGATACACACAGCATTGCAAAGCACATTCAGCAGAAGTCTTCTCAATTGTTGGCTGTCATATTTTCAGTGTCAACATTTCCTGCGTGTTACAACTTTATTATTCATCCATGTCTTTGGTGAAAAGGTAGTTTGCGCAACAAAAGGACAGTAAGGCGTATAAAACAAATTGCAGAAGTGTTCATTTCTCATCAGTCTGTCTTTTAAGGTGTGTTGTCCAAAAGGCAGTGTCAGAAAGTTTGTTAGTAAGTCATATCTATGACACAAACTACTAAAATCCTGTATTTCAACTACAAATTTGAGCCTGTAGTTTAATACTCTGCTAGAAACGTGTGGTCGTCTAAGGATTCCACGGGATTGCACTGTAAATCAAGGCCTCAAGTGGTATATTAATAAAGTGGTTTTGCTTAACCCTACAGATGACACAAGTATTTAGCAAAAGTTGGGTGGCTTAAATAGCACCAAATTGACACTGTCTAAAGGAATTCATCCAACATTGCACCTATGCTAAGAGATACTTTGCCAGACAATGAAACGCATAACTAATAGGAGTGAGGATTACATAGTTCGAATTTGTTTTGTCTATTTTTTTTCCACTTTCAAATGTTTTTTTTTTTTTTTTCTATCATGGCACTGGCCTTCACATTATCTCATGAATTTTAATCTACTCGTCCTGGTCGTCCTTGTCGGTTTTACTTGACTCTCTCTCCTTCTCCCTCCTGGACTCCTTCACCACCTGATGAAAAAAACAACACCCAGCTTAGTCCCACAATGTCACAGTACGTCATGCTTGCATTGCTTGCAATTTTTCAAAAGATAAAATGTGTTAAACTAGTTATTTTGAATCATGTCTTGTCATTTCTGTACCTCTCCATCTCTAGTCTCAACTGTCTTTATCACCACAGTCCTCTTGCCCGGATTTTCTGGAGTTTTTTCATAGTCTATCAAAAGTCAGATTAAAACGCTGCTGAGAACCGGAAACCATTGATCACATAAATTGATGTAGCTGAGCAGTGCTGAGCTGTGTTGGATTTTGGCTACTCCTTGTTCTGGAAGTAAAAATCCCTATGCAGAATGACAGCTGTGTTACTTTCACAGCTGCCACTGGCACTAGTGAACAACTGCTTTGGATGGTAGCTTTGAATTGAAAAAATAAAAAATAAAATAAGGTGCAAGCGTGTGAACAAAAGATGAAAAGTAAACTACAACTTACAAGGTGCATTTTTGCAAGAAACAGTCAATCACAGGACTGAGGGAAAACCAGAGATTATGCTCATAACAAACCTGACTATGCAATTTGAGGCTTAAATGAATTTGTTTTGAAATTTGCCTCTGTGTTTTGTTCCATCTGTGCATCTGACTGCCTTCTTCTCAATAGCAATGACAACAGAGACTGATGGGTATTGTAGTATTTTGAGGCCCTGCGGCAAACTGACAAAAATATAGCTGCTCAGAAATGAGGCTGAAGTAAAAAAAAACTGTTATGTTTTGAAGTCAAGGTAAATTGAAGCTATAATTAAAAGAAAATACTTCCAGAACAAGCAGCTCTGCCATTTAACAACTCTGATTTAGGATACAAGGAAACCAAGAGACTTAAATTACATTTTATTATGGAAAAAAAGAGCTATGGCTTACCTCGATCTCCAAAGTGATTGCTCATGCCAATATTGAGAACGGGAACAGTAATCCTAAAGAGGAAATATAAAATCAGTGTGTTATAATCTGTCATGAAAAGTCATTTACTTGCATATGACTTGCTCGGAGGTTTGTCTTTGACATAAATGAAAGACTAGACAGTGGAAAAGGAACATCATATCAGGGGCTTAGAATTGAGCTCAGCTCTTTTAAGCTGTGAGGTGACAAACCTTAATGGACTGCCCATGTTGTCACTAATCAGAAGCAAAATCCAAATCGGAAAAAGTTACGTAAAAACAGGAGAATGCCGACCTGCTCTCCTCTCCCTCCAGCAGTTTGCGGTAAGTGGCGATCTCAATGTCAAGAGCCATTTTGACATTGAGCAGGTCTTGGTACTCCCGAAGATGGCGAGCCATCTCTTCCTTCAGGTGACGGATCTCATCCTCCAGCCTGCCCACGTTGTCCTGGTAGTTGGCGATCTCATTTCCAAACTGGTCCTCCATTTCACGCATCTGCCTCAGCAGAGCTTCATTCTGAAAGCGTACAGCAGCACGTTAGATTGAAAGTAGCCTTAAAGTGTATGATGCAATAAAACGGGCCGAGGACTGGTGGGTTTACCGTATTCTTCAGTGCATCGATTTCACAGTTGAGGGACTGAATCTGCCTCCTGGACTCGTTGGCCTCCTGCTTGGCCGTCCTCAGAGCGTCGGTGTTACGCTTTGCAGACTCAGTCAAATCAGCAAACTGCAAGAACAAAATACGAAGCACAAAAAAATGAATGAATATTTGTACATTCATGTTCACCTGCCAATGTGTGTGTGTGTGTCTGTCTGCCTACCTTGGACTTGTACCAGTCCTCAGATTCCTGCATGTTCTTCAAGGCAATAGTCTCATACTGGGCCCTGATGTCCCTCAGAGCACCGGTGAGGTCGGGGCGGGCGCTGCTGTCCACCTCCATCCTCAGCTGCTGGGTCTGGACGCTCACTTGTACATCCTGGATTTCCTGATAATGTGAGCAAACAAATAGAGACTCATATAAATGGGCAAATCAGTTTTCTTGCTACACAGGCAGTTTTATTTTCTCCCGTGTCTTGTGATGCAGCTTCATCAATAATACACCTGAAGCTTCTCCAATAATGGGCTACTCTCCAGCTTTAGCAAATACTATGAGAGTAATTTCTTTTAAAAAAAATGTCTTTCAAAAAAAAAGTGTGTTTTTGTATGTAGAGGAGAAACTAGCTGCCAGTGAATCTCCTTTGCTGCACTAAAGTATCTGATCTATCACCTTTTTTAGTATTAACACTTTGCACTATGTAATCTGAGGGATGATCTCACCAAGTATGTTCAATAAATTAATCTGCCGGTTTAACACAAACACAGAGGATTCAGTCATTTGGAAAACAGGACTCTCTTAATTTCTACCAGCACAGTGGAGACATGCAGAAATACAGCATCACTTACCTCATCATGGAGTTTCTTAAGGAATTCAATCTCATCCATCAGAGACTCAATCTTCCTCTCCAGCTCCAGACGGGACAGTGTGGCATCATCAACATCCTGGTTGTTTTTTGAGACAAAGAAATGCCTGTAATAAGTCATCATTGCTAAAAACCCATGATGATAGGAGTTTAGTGCTACTGGGATACATTTGATTTGTGACTGTTTTGCTTGTATCAATCATTTGCAGCCTTAGGGCGTGCTGTTTGAATAGACAAGTGCATTAGCAGAGGGGGAGAAAAAAAAAAAAGAACGTCTCCTGCACTCCAGTTTGGATCAATACTATTTAAAAAATCTGCCCTGTCACATTACTGTGACACTATTATGAAAGCATCAGAGATAGAACAAAGCTGTTCATTTTGACCTGTTATCTGAGACAGGGGACACTGTAATCAATCAGTGAGCTGAGTGTTTACCTTGCGGAAGGCGACCAGGTTATTCTCAGAATCTGCCCTCTTCTGAACTTCTTCATCCAACCTAAGGACAAGACAAAATATTTCAAATTAGATTTCCTCAGGAGTCTTCTTTCTACAAAAAGGTTGAGAGAACAACATGGTGACATTTTTCCCAGAACGCCCTCAAAGGTTAAACCTGGGCATCAGCTGGCAAAAAGCTTCCTGGATCAATTTGTTAAGTCACTGTCCCGTAAAAAGGATTGCGGGAGTGAGTCCGCTGGGACCAGCAGCTGCTCCTTTCAGCTAATGTGGCTTCTCTACAGTTCAGGAAGGTCATCTGCACACACTCAGTCAGGATACACACACACACTTTCAATCTTTTTATAGATTTGAAGCTCTTCATTTAATGCTGGCTAGTTTACAATGATGGGACACAAATCTTGGGGCACAGAGTAAATAAAATAAGTAACATTTGCATGGTTGTGAAAGATAGTTTGGTAAATTTAGACTTTTGTGGACTGTCATAAGACAAAATGCCATTATCTTCTTCAAAATTGAGAAATGGAAATAACAAAGGACATCAAGACTCTGAGTGATGAGTCATTACAAATTATATCACAATGCACAATATGTTGCTCATTCTCTGCTAATGTTTCATGAGTGATGTGCCGTATGTGTGGTCGATGTCTGGATGTGCTGTGCTCCATCTGTTCTGTCTGACAAAAGTCTTGCCCGGGCTGGACATTAAGTAGATTAGTGGGTCTTGCTTCCTCATCTTTAATTCATGTCCTGTTACACGGGACCCTTTTGTCCTAATGGGTTCTCTGGCACCATCCCATCAGCACAGAGGGACACTGAAAACACACCTAATGGAGTCATGGAGTCACATTGATTTTTCCTGACGCTATTCTCACCACGCCTGATATCCAGCCTCCCCTCCTTTTCGTCCCATTTCCTCCCTTGTCCCTCCCACCTCCTCAGCCAGCCCCACCCTATGTCTGGTCCATCCATCCGCCTCCTTCCTCCTGTCATGTCCCCTGAAAGCACGCATGCTTGTGTGTGTTTGTAGAAGTCTAGAAAATTGCATTATTTAAGGAAACACAAAGATCCTGACTTAATTTGGCATCAGTTTCTGTGTTGTGATTTTCTGTTGGTCACCGCTGAGGTTTGCCAACTTGTTAGCTTGCATGGCAGTCGGTGATGCTATGCAATACATACATGAAAACAATGGGCACACATGATGCAGTGCAGCATCCTGTATCATGCTGCTGCTCTTGTGCCACGCCCTACATCATCATTACTGGAGTCAAGTGGCAGGCGCCTTGGGACTCTCTACCTGCTCTGTGGTTAAAGTGGACCATGTATTGCATATCACAAGAGTGTCAGTGAAATATGGTTAGCATAGTTGCACACATCGGTGGCTCAATATGCATGACTGAGAGACTCACAACAGAGAAATGTTGGAATAAAGCAGAGAAAAAACAGTTGTTTTATCAGGATGTCATGACATTGAATAGGATACAACTTTGCAGCTCAGCGTGTCGGATCTATCTATCTATCTATCTATCTATCTATCTATCTATCTATCTATCTATCTATCTATCTATCCATCCATCCATCCATTTTCTATACAACGCTTAATCCTCACTAGGGTCGTGGGAGGGCTGGAGCCTATCCCAGCCGACTTAGGGCGAAGGCAGGGGACACCCTGGACAGGTCACCAGTCTATCGCAGGGCCCTATCTATCTATCTATCTATCTATCTATCTATCTATCTATCTATCTATCTATCTATCTATCTATCTAGCTATCTATCTATCTATCTATCTATCTATCTATCTATCTATCTATCCATC